AACACACAAGAAATTCTCTCTCTCTCTCTCTCTCTCTCTCTCTCTCTCTCTCTCTCTCTCTCTCTCTCTCTCTCGTTAAGTAACTTGTGCATTGTTTTACTTGTTTTTGACATATCTGACCGAACTACAAACTTTCCAGTGATGTCTGTGAGAAAGGTATATTCACTCGACAAGGTCACGCATCTGCGCCGCCGCGCGCTCAATCCACTCAGCGTGCTTTGTTTATCAGCTATACAGGCGTTAAAACTGAATGTTTAATGTTATATTCATTGCATGCATATACTTCGTAGTAGACAACCTTAACTCCATTCTGCTGTCTGTTGTCGGTGTTTCTTTGTCTGAATATGGCGCTTATCACATGCTGTGTGGTATCGGCATTTGGTATCGGGGAATTTTAACGAGTACGAGTACAGGAGCTCAGTATCGGGCCCGATATCGGTATCGGTGCATCCCTAATATATATGCATGCATGTATGTGTGTGTATGCACTGTAGGGTACAATACAGTGTAATCATCTTTCAAAAAATGAGTTGCTGAAGTTGTGGTGTTCTACAGTGGGAATTCCAAATTGGCCCTTGTGAGGGCATTGAGATGGGAGACCATTTGTGGATCGCCCGCTTCCTCCTGCACAGGGTTTGTGAGGACTTTGGCATTGTGGCCTCTTTCGACCCCAAGCCCATTCCAGGGAACTGGAATGGAGCTGGCTGCCACACCAACTTCAGCACAAAGGAGATGCGCGAGGATGGGGGTTTGAAGTAAGTGTGTAAAAGAGAGCCTAGAATCTTCCACACTGCCTAGGATCCACACTGTAGCACTGACATAAAATTGTCATTAGTTATGCTAATCAATTTACTTTTATTTTAGATACATTGAGGAGTCAATTGAGAGGCTGGCCAAGAGACACCAGTACCATATTCGTGCCTATGATCCTAAAGGAGGGCTGGACAATGCCAGACGACTGACCGGCCATCACGAGACCTCCAACATCAATGAGTTCTCTGCTGGAGTGGCTAACCGTGGTGCTAGCATCCGAATCCCACGATCTGTGGGCCAGGAAATGAAGGGCTACTTTGAAGACCGTCGTCCCTCAGCCAACTGTGATCCGTACACAGTCACTGAAGCTCTTGTACGCACATGTCTGCTCAACGAAGATGGTGACGAGCCTGTGAAATACAAGTGAAATACTGGACTGAAGCGTCATTTTTAGTAATTAAATATCTTACTGACGCCTTGTATTTTGAGTTCATTATTCCATGAGGGATGACACTAGTCAGGGGTGTCAAACTCAGTTCCTGGAGTGCCGGAGCCTTACAGAGTTTTGTTCCAACACACATCCATGTAGTTTTCAAATAAGCCTGAAGGACTTGATTAGTTGGATCAAGTGTTTAATTAGGGTTAAATCTAAACTCTGCAGGGCTCTGGCCCTCCAGGAATTGAGTTTGACACCCCTGCACTAGATGGATCTCTTCCCTGTTTGTTGGTTATAGAAACGCACATTGGGTCAGTTTATGCCACAATTTTTAGCTTTCTCACTGCCAGTATCTCTTTATAACCGATTTGTAATATCGTATTCTGGCAGAAATCCTTGTTTGATAGAGACCGAAGTTTGCACCTGAAATTACTACTACTACTACTTGGCCTTTATATCTAAAGCTGTTCTTGTGTTTTGATCTCTGTTTTCCAGAATGTTGTCAAATTTAACATGTTTTTTCTAAACTAACTGTATATATTTTAATGCTTATTGTAGTCCGTTTTAGAATTTGTTTCCGGGTTATAAGTTATGGTACTGTTTCTCACAGGGACCAAAATGCATTATACTGATATGTCTCTGACTGTTCACAGGATTGCATTTTATTTTTGCAGTACCATGGTTGAAAAAACACTTGTCTCTTTACATTAAAACACCAAGAATTTTACTAAAATGTGATTTCTCTGACATATTTTCTCTTGAAGTTTGTTAGAATAGTTTTCACAATCAAGATTATAAACACAGTGAGGCTGTAAAAGAATATGCTAAAATACTACAGGTTATATTAGAGAGAGAGAGAAAAAAAGATGTGGTCCAAACGGTTCTTGTGCATGTATTATGTATCTAGTAGAAAGACCACTGCTATTTATTTGAAAACTGATGGCTGTTTGAAGTGGAATGTATGTTCCATTTGTTTTTCGTAAACTATTTGTGGATTTTGAATGTGGGGAACCCTAATCTGGTTGTTTCTGGTGTCTTATGCAAGAAAGACCAGTTTTGGGGGGTTTAAAGAGGGCTAAATGGAGTCAGGGTACTAACAAAAACTATAGCCACATGGATTGGACTTAAAAAAAACGGTCAATACAAGTTTGTGTTGGACACACCGTTTTGGATTACTCTACCTCAAATTTTCTAACTCAAGTTTTACTTTACATGCTAAATAAGTGCCTGTTCAGTGAAGAGCAGTACACTCTTAAAAATAAAGGTGCTTCACGATGCCATAGAAGAACCTTTTTGTCTAAATGGTTCCATAAAGAACCTTTAACATCTGAAGAACCTTTCTGTTTCACAAAAGGTTCTTTGTGGCGAAAGAAGGTTCTTCAGATTACAAAAAGGTAAGAAAGAGATGGTTCTTTAAAGAACCTTTGACTGAATGGTTCTTTGTGGACCCAAAAATGGTTATTCTATGGCATCGCTTGAAGAACCTTTTGAAGCACCTTTATTTTTAAGAGTGATTATTTTCTCTTTTGTGAACCGTTTTGAGTTGATTTTGATATCCAGAAAGGCAATTATAGGGTTAAAGAAATCCTTATTTTATTTTGGTGTCTTTTTGCTGAACCGTGTCAACCCTTCTCAGAAAGTAGCGAGGAGATTTACATTGTTGGGAAATATTAAGCAAAGTCATGTTTTTGTTAACTTTTTTTTTTTAATACCTTTTACCTAATTCCTAAAAATTACAAGACAGTAAAGCTGAAAACGTGGTTTGTTATGGAAGTTAACATTTTTCGTTGCCTGCATTTACAGTATGTGAAGTGCTAAATTAGAGATCTGCACTCCCTAACCTTTAGCACGTGAGGATATATTGTAGCAATGCTGCAATGACTGTGATTTGGCAGATGGTGAAAGTAGAAATACCCTGGCTCAAGACAAAGTGTGGTGAATTACCACTCTGCAGTCCAAAACACATGGGCCTGTTCTGCATCCCAAATCATGTTACGTTTATTCTAGGTCACGTTTGATAAACTGGCCATAACCCTCTCACCCAAATTCACTGGAACTGTACAACTCTTAAAATTTGCAGGAAAACATTTCTGTAATACTGTTTTTCCATTAAACAAACAAAATGGAAGAAGGTGACTAATGACCCAAACCAAGTGTTCCAATGAAAAGGGCCATGTTTGTGTATGTACACAGCTGCACACCTCTCAAGCTCTAAACAAATAAAGTTATTTCACACAAACAAGGCAACATTCTGGGAAGACGATGTTCCGACAGAATTCACAGTCAACCAAAGAACTACTACAGCCACATCAAAAATTAATAATGGATTTCATTTTCTGAACTTTCCCAAAACATGGAACATGATACGCATTATTAATATATACGTTTTTTTTGCTTTGAATTACTTGCACAACATTAATGGTACAATTTTATTTTCAAAAACATTGACAGATGCCACAGACTGCTCAAAATCCATTTACTGACCATCAGATATATATTTCACACAACTGGAAAGCAGTTGCAATCAAAAAGTTCCAATCAGATTGTCTGACAGCAGGAGTAGAGGTTGCTGGGAAACAATTTTTTTTAAATATACAGGGTTTATATTATGAATGTTTGTGAGAAAAATAAATCACTGGCCAGAGTGCCAGGTCAAAATCTTTAAACACTATTCATATATTTGTTAATTACATTTTAATGAATTACAGCAGTCAGAATATGTATATAAACAACTGTGTTTATTTTTCCAGAAGCTTTGTATGGTTTTGTATCTTGGTTTCAAACACCAAATTACATGGGATTATATGAAATCATTGTTCCAAACATATAAACTCACCGGACCCCTTTTGCCTTTAGAACTGCCTTAATTCTTTGTGGCATAGATTCAACAAGGTGCTGGTAACATCCCTTAGAGATTTTGGTCCAGTTTGACATCATAGCATCACACAGTTGCTGCAGATTTGTCGGCTGCACATCATTTATGTGAATCTCCCATTTCTCTACGTCCCAAAGGTGCTCTAAGATCTGGTGAATGTGGAGGCCATTTGAGTATAGTGAACTCATTGTCATGTTCAAGGAAACAGTTTAAGATTATTTGAGCTTTGTGACATGGCGCATTATCCTGCTGGAAGTAGGCATCACAAGGTACAGTGTGGTCATAAAGTCATGGATATGGTCAGCAACAGTACTCAGGTAAGCTGTGGGCGCTTAAACAGTGGTCAATACATGGTAAGGAGCCCAAAGTGTACCAAGAAAATATTCCACACACCATTACAGCACCACCAGCAGCCTGAACTGTTGATGCAATGCAGGATAGATCCATGCTTTCATGTTGTTTATGCCAATTTCAGACCCTACCATCTGAATGTTGCAGCAGAGATTGTGACTCATCAGACAGGAACCCTTTTTCCAATATTCTATTGTCCAATTTTGGTGAGCCCTTGCGAACTGTAGCCTCAGTTTCCTGTAGTTAGCTGAGAGTATTGGCACCCAGTATGGTCTTCTGCTGCTGTAGTCCATCTGCATCGATGTGTTGTGCGCTTAGAGATACTCTTCTGCATACCTCAGTAACAAGTGGTTATTTGAGTTACTGCAGCACTATATATATATATATATATATATATATATATAGTGCTGTCAAATGATTAATCGCATCCAAAATAAAA